ATAACAAGGCGTTCAATGATACGTGAGAAAGACCTTATAGTCCTTAGGGTCTGACAACTGGAACTGATGTTCTCACCAAAGTCATTCTTCCTCTCCCTCATCCCTTACATCTGTCCTTCCGACCCTGAAATCTGTCTCCCATCTATCCTCACTTGCCCCATGGGCCACCGTTTTAATTCAAGCATTCATCACCTCTCCCTGAGAAACAGTTTCAATAGCCTCCCAACTACTTTTCCAGACACAGGTTTTGTTCCTTTCCAATCCACCTGCTGTGCTGCCTTTTTTTTTTTGGGAGGGGGGCGGGGGGTTATGGGGAGTGTGTGTAAAACAACAGAAATTTATTATCTTACAGGTCTGTAGGCCAGAAGTCTGACATGGGTCTCACATGGGCCAAAGTGTAGGCAGGGCTGCGTTCCTTCTGGAGGCTCTATGGGAGAAACTGTTTCAATGCTTTTTCCAGTTTCTAGAGGCCACCTGCATTCCTTGGCTCATGGCCTCTTCCTCCATCTTCAAAGCCAGCAACCTGGCATCTCTCTGACTCTGTTTCCATCATCACACCTCTTTCTCTGACTGTCTCTTCTCTTCTGCCTCTCACTTGCATTTTTTTAAAGTGTTATTGTGGTTATATATATATATAACAAAAAGTTTGTTATTTTAACCACTTTTAAGTGTAGAGTTCAGTGACATTGATTACATTCACCATGTTGTTTGCACTGCATTTTGGTAGACCTCTGTTCCAGTGGTTGAAATCTCTGGCTGATCACAACTGTATATTTACTCTGCCTTATACACCAGTCATTTTATTAAATCATCAAGATCTGGGTAATCACCAGTGATTAGTTTACATTTTTGCAACAGAATTCCTGTTATGGAACTTTCTGTTTCTTTCTTCAGCAAATCCTCAATGTTTTCCTTTGCATAAGAAATGGGCCCGTATTATCATGAAAGTTTGCAATTTGATTTATTCTTTACAATCAACAGAGTTTTAAAGGAATTCTGCTGTCACTGTGGCTGTGCCTCCATCTCAGGTATTCCTGGCACCTCAGTCAAAGACTCTCCTGGGGTTGCCATCTTGTCCCTGTGGTGCTAAAAACCAAAATGAGGAAGCTCCTTGAAGGCTGGAACTTTGCCTTATTTACTGTTTATCCCCAACAACTATACAGTGCCTGAAATATTTGCTGAATGAATGAATCGATCAATCTAAGGCAAATATTAGAAACGTTGCTGTTAGGCGCCGTAGAGTCGGCTCTGATTTATAGTCACTTTATATATAACAAAACAAAACATTGCCTGGTCCTATGCCATCCTCACAATAGTAGGTATGTTTGAGCGCATTGTTGCAACCACTGTGTCAATCCATGTTGTTAAGGGTTTTCCTCTTTTTCACTGAATCTCTATTTTACCAAGCATGATGTCCTTCTCCAGGGACTGGTCCCTCCTAACAATGTGTCCAAACTAAGTGAGACAAAGTCTGACCATTCTTGCTTCTAAGGAGCATTCTGGCTGTGCTTCCTCCAAGACAGATGAGTTTGTTCTTCTGGTAGTCCATGGTATATTCAGTATTCTTTGCCAACACCATAATTCAAATGTGTCAATTCTTCTTCGGTCTCCTTTTTCATTGTGCTGCTTTCACATGCATATGAGGCGATTGAAAATACCATGGCTTGGATCAGGCACACCTTAGTCATCAAGGTGACACCATTGCTTTTTAAAATTTTAAAGTGGTTTTCTGCAGCAGATTTGCCCAATGCAATATGTCATTTGATGTCTTGACTGCTGCTTCCATGGACGTTGATTGTCAATCCAGGTAAAATGAAATCCTTGATAACGTCAATATTTTCTCTGTTTAACATGATGTTGCTTATTGACCCAGCTATGAGGATTTTTTTTTTTTTCCTTTATGTCAAGGTGTAATCCATACTGAAGGCTGTGGTCTTTGATCTTCATCAGTAAGTGCTTCAAGCTGTCTTTACTTTGGGCAAGCAAGGTTGGGTCATCTGCATATTAATGAGTTGTTAATGAGTCTTCCTCCAGTCCTGATGCAGCATTCTTCTTTCTATAGTCCAGCTTCTAAGATTATTTGCTCAGCATACAGATTGAATAAGTGAGGTGAAAGAACACAACCCTGCTGCACCCTTTTTCCAATTTTAATCCACACAGTGTGCCATTGTTCTGTTCAAATGACTGCCTCTTGATCAATGTACAGGTTCCACATGAGCACAGTTAAGTGTTCTGGATTCCAATTCTTCAAAATGTTCCCCATAATTTGTTACGATCCACACAGTCAAATGTGTTTGCATAGTCAGTAAAACAAAGGTAAACATCTTTCTGGTTTTTTTGCTTTCAGCCGAGATCCAGCTGACGTCAGCAACGATATCCCTCACTGCACATCCTCTTCTGAATCCAGCTTGAATCTCTGGCAGTTCCCCACCAATGTATGGCTACAATGGTGTTTGAATTATCTTCAGCAAAATTTTGCTAGCATGAGATATTAATGATATTGTTTGATAATTTCCACCTTCAGTTGGATCACCTTCCTTTGGAATGGGCACGAATATGGATCTCTTCCATATTAGAAATATTAAAAATAAAGAAAAACTCATTGCCATTGAGGCAATTTCAACTCATAGTGACCCTACAGGACAGAGTAGAACTGCCCCACAGGCTTTCTAAGGAGCACTTGGTGGATTCGAACTGCTGACGTTTTGGTTAGCAATCAAGTTCTTAATCACTGTGCCACCAGGGCTCCATATTATAAATAGTCCTTTAAATTTAAAATAGTCCTTTAAATTAAAATACCAAAACCCAAAACCAAATCCCTTGCTGTTGAGTTGATTCCGACTCATAGCGACCCTATAGGACAGAGTAGAACTGCCCCATAGGGTTTCCAAGGTTGTAATCTTTACAGAAGTAGACTGCCACATCTTTCTCCTGAAGAGCAGCTGGTGGGTTCTAACCGCCAACCTTTCAGTTAGCAGCTGAGTGCTTACCCACTGCACTACCAGGGCTCATCTTTAAATTAAAATAGTTCTCTAAAATTACTCAGGGTCAAAACTGTGCAGAAGCACAAACCAAACACTGAATGCTTTTTTTTTTTTTTTTTGACTTTTCTCAGTTTCCTTCTTGGCATAACCACTCTCCTGCCTCCTACTCCCACCTCCTCAGCCCCAAAGACCTACAACAGACTCTCAGACGCTCCTTACTTCTGACCCCAAACCCTACAAGCACCAAATCATAGATGACTGTAACCAAAGGGACAACCTAATTCTCAGGGATCAATTCTACTTGTCCTCAGACTCCCCGAGGGCAGTCAGCACTTCTCCTCACAAAATGTGATGCATATTTTAGTCCAGTAATGTGAGGATGGTGCAAGACTGGGCAGTGTTTTGTTCTGTTGTACATAGGGTCACTGTGAGTTGGAACCAACTCAATAGCACTTGACAACAACAATCTAATATTAACAATAATTCCTTATCACCCTCTTCATCCACTCTAAGATTCAATGGCTCAATTGTGAGGAGTTTACAGCCAAGGAAGGGACATGTTGTTGCCTGTACCATTGAGTCAATCAGAACCAGGTAAAGACAAGTCCACTTCTAATTCTTACCCCCAGCTGGCTCTCTATACACAAGCTGGGAGGAAAACTCCAGCACCAACTAGGATCAGGGAAACCCTGGTGGCATAGTTAGTGGTTAAAAGCTTTGGCTGCTAACCAAAAGGTCAGCAGTTTGAATCTACCAGGTGCTCCTTGGAAACTCTGTGGGCAGTTCTACTCTGTCCTATAGGGTTACTACGAACTGACTGGATGGCAATGGGTTTGGTTTTTTGGTTTAATTAGGATCAGAAGGAGTCCCTGGGTGGTGCAAACAGCTAATGCCGCTGGGCTGCTAACTGAAAGGCTGAGAGTTCCAGGCCACACAGAGGTGCCTTGAAAGAAAGTCCTAGCCATCTACTTCTAAAAATTCAGCCATTGAAAACCCTATGGAGCACTCTGTCTGACACACAAGAGTCCAAATTGACTTGATAGCAACTGGATTTTTAAGATAGGATCAGAAGGCCCATCCTTGGAATTTTAAGGTTCAGAAAGGGATTTGTCTGTCCCTTGATGACAGAAAACCACACCTGTCCCCTGGGCTCCACCTCAGCTCCCTGTGGCTCACTACAACGCATACCAACTTGGGTTTGGGCAGAGAAACTAGCATTAGTACAGACATGTGGAATGTGCTTTTCTGTGGGCATTTTCAGCATTACCTGTTGCCAATGAGTTGATTCCAGAGTAGAACTGCCCCATAGGATTGCCAAGACTAATCTTTACTGAAGCAGACTGCCACATCCTTCTCCCACAGAGCGGCTGGTGGGTTAGCAGCCAAGCATTTAACCACTGCACCACCAGGGGTCCTTCCTTTTTCAGCATTAACTATCCAGTTTTTCTGAGGGCAGCAGCTTTCCTTTTATTTATTTTTTTAAATGCACTCAGTTTTGCCATCTGGTGGCCTTATAAATTACAAATGTCTATTATACTGCCGAGAGGACCTGAGCAGGGCCTCTGCAGTTGCAGAAAGTGTGGATGTGTCCTTTTTAGAGTTACTTCCTTCTCCTTTTTCATTTCCCCCCATTTTCCCATGTTCTAGGGTAAAAACATCACAAAGTTTAGTGAAGCAAAAAGAAAGGTTTTATTCGGCATATATTTAAAGAGGCAAAAGTGAAAAACGGACAAGCATGCTGCTAGAGCCATGTCTGTCCAAGTCCAAGGAATATTACCGAATAAGCAAGAGTGGGAAAACGGACAAGCATGCTGCCACAACCCTGTCTGTCCGAGTCCAAGGAATGTTACAGAATCATCAGTATATATTAACATTACAAAGGGACGAAAAAGGGACCATTGAAAGCTTCACCTTTTCACAGATTGGCTAGAAAGTGTGATCCTACATTTTGCATGGTCTTTCTTAATTATCATTGGTACAGGTTTCCGTAAGGACAGTCAGGAGGGTCTTCATTGGTCCAACAAATCTTACTATTCACTAAATGCGAATAGAAAAAGATAAGAGTGGAAAATATGTGGGTCTTTTGTGTTGTGTTTTATGAGCTGTTTACGTGAAAGTTTCCCTAGAAGATGTTTTCCAAGATTGTCCTAGCTATTGTCTTTATACCTCAGGGCCCAGTTGATGTGTTCTTGTGGGTCCTTGTGAGTCCAGCTCCAGCTGGGTCACATTTTAGGACAGGGAATAATGGCTCCAATATCAGCTCCTAAATCACCCATTAGTATGTATCACTCACTACATAAGGAATGCTGTCTTTCTTTTGTCTCTTCTCAACCAATCTCATCAAAAAGACTTGTCTCCTCCACTCTCTGTCACAGACTGGGTTCTCTGGAAGCAGGCACCCACCGTGTGGAGTCTTGGGTGCAAGATGTTGAGAAATCGACCCCTGTGAAAGTAAGGGAGAGGAAGCAGGGTTGAGCAGAAGGAGTTGAACTGAGCTGTAGGCTTAACAGAGCCTCCAGTAACTCTGCCAAGAGCTTGGAGCAAGTCTATCCCCTCAGAGTAAACCAAGCCTGGCAGAAAGAGCCAGGCCTTTATACCCCGCCCGGCTCAGTCACCATGTGGAGCTTCCCAGAGAAAGGGCGTGACCCCAGGTGAGGCAGACCCTGAAGGAGCTGATGGCTGAAGGCTGGAGGCTGACTACACCCCCCACAAGTCCTTCCTGGAAGGGGGGCCTGGGTGGCGTATCTCCACATGTTCCACACTCTCCTTGCTTCTCATTCTTCTCTGGAATCACTGAAACTCACCTTCCATCTCCACTTTTACTTCAACTATCCCATACATTTGCCCCACTCCAAGTCCAATGGGCATTTTTTGGTTCTTACCTTTCAGAACCTCTCTGCTGCATTCATCAGAGCTGTTCTTGCTCTCTTTCTCTCTCACGTTCTCAGAAGTCTCTTCACCCTTGACTTCCATAATAAATTTCTCTCCTACCTCTTCTTAACCTCTCTAACCATCCTTTCCTGACCTCTTCAGGGGCCTCATCCTCCATTCACCAGTTAAGTGTTGGGACCCTTGGGGCCCCCTACTCAGTGCACCCTCCCTTCCTCCATATCTTCCCAGGTGATCTTGCCCACTGTTAGGGCTTTAATTCCCGTTTAATTACTAACCAGTTGCCATCTAATTGATTCCGACTTATGGTGACCCCACGTGTGTCAGAGTAGAACTTTACTCCATAAGGTTTTCAATGGCTGATTTTTCCAAAGCAGATCACCAGATACTTCTTTCGAGGCACCTCTAGGTGGACTCCAACATCCAGCTTTTTGGTTAGCAGTGGCGCATGTTAACCGTTGGCATCACCCAGGGACCTTATTTACATGCTACCAGTAAAAACCAGTAGCCGTTGAGTCGATTTTGACTCATGGCAACTCCATGTGTTACAGAGCAGAACTGCTTGCTCCACAGGGATTTCTCAGCTGTGGACTTTCAGAAGCAGAGCTTCAGAACTTTCTTTCAAGGCACCTCTGGGTGGGTTCAAACTGTTAAGCACTTAACCTTTTGCCCCACCCAGGGACTCACAAAAAAAACCAAACCCATTGCCATTGAGTCAATTCCGAGTCATAGTGACGCTGTAAGACACAGTAGAACTGCCCCATAGCGTTTCCAAGGCTGTAAATCCTTCCAGAAGCTGCATCTTTCTCCTGGGGAGCAGCTTTGTGGGTTCGAACCACCAACCTTTTGGTTGGCAAGGGAGTGTTTAACCACTGCACCACCAGGTCTCCTTACCCAGGGACTAGTGACTGAAATCTACTCATGAGCCCACCCTCTTTCTTGAGCTTCCAGTTCTCATATCTAATTGGCTGCTGGATACTTCCACACTAAGGCTGTCAGAATGGTGAAGCTCCACTTCTTTCCCACCAAGCTCACCGTCCCGAAGAAGACTAACTCCTTTTTCAGTGCAAGAATTAAGGGACCCTTTAAACTTGCTCCATCAAGCAACTTTTTTAGGCAGCTAACCCAGCTCGTTCCTCCTTGGGCATGTGTGTGAAAGCACTTTCAACAATATCAAGGACACTTCAGAGGAAAATTGCATCACTGATGCTGGGTGCTGAGGCCAAAAGAATATTCGTCACTTATTCCCTGATCATACTCACTCCTTACCTAACCAGGTGTGAACCTCTGACTCAGTGGGTTCCGAGAAAAGTGTTAACAGAATTTCTTTATTACAGGTGATGAGAGGTGGTAGAGATTTATTTTATAGCTTGGGTTTCTTCTGAGGAAAAGAGTGCTGTGAGCAGGTGATTTTTAGCCACACCTTTTATTTCCAGTCCAGGCCATGTGAAAGGCATTTCTCAAGGAAAATTATGTCCACTTTATTTAAAGGTATCATGCTGGGTGTATATCTGTCCTGTCTTCCCAAATTGGAATTTCCGGTTGAATTCAACAAACACTTATCAATCAAGTACAGTGTGCCAAGCACAGGGCAGTGTCTGCCTCTAAGAACCGAAAGGGTGGGTAGGGAATAAAGGGTGATGCAAGCAGGTAGCAGGCAGAGTTTGCTAATGGTCACAAAAGCCATAGAAACTAAGTGCTGTGTGTTCCAGAGAAGAGAAAGGTATCTTTCCAGTTTGACTTCTTAAAGGCATCTGAGGTAGACCTTGAAGGACAGATCAGATTTCAGGGAGTGAGCATGAGACAGAAATAAGCAAGAAACAATGACGACACACAACGAATAGAGAGAAAGGAATGACAAATGGCAAAAGACTGAGAAGCATATCTTCAGAGAATTGGAAAACAAACAGAATAATAAGAAAATTTTCTCATAGCAAAGGCCAGATACTGAAACTGTGGAAATACCCTGGGAGGCTACAGAGGCAAGGTCATAGAGGAAAGATTATTAAAATAATATTATTGTAATAAGATGCGTCAAAAAGCAAAAACTAGTTGCTGTTGAGTCAATTCTGACTCATGAAGATCCCATGTGTGTCAGAATAACTGTGCTCCATAGGGTTTACAATGGCTGACTTTTCAGAAGTAGATTGTCAGGTCTTTCTTCCTACTCCCTACCAACCATGATGTCCTTTTCTAGTAATTGGTCTTTCCTGATGACATGTCTGAACTAAACGAGCTGAAGTCTCACACAGAGAGACTTTGTGTGAATTAAAAAAAAAAAACAAAAACAAAAAAAAAAAACCTCTCCCTCAGGTGAATTAAATAGGAAAGGACACCTCCTCTGGGCACACAAATTTGGCAACAAAGAGCACCTGTATGTAAATTAGAAAAAAAGGGCCCCTTCCTCTCAGTGGTGTCACTAGGGTTGGTGTCACCCAGTGCAGTAACTCATAGGGTCACCCCCCCACCCACGGACCTCCAGAATCGTTACAGACCGTACAAAATCCTAGTAATGTTTTTTACACTAACGTTACTCGTAAATCATAATTCCTGTATATCACGATTTCTTTTCCTTTAATTACTACTTTATTCCAAAAAAGTTATTGACATAGGTTCACAAATACTAATTACCACAACACTGTAGCTAAAACATGAGAAAAACTGACAAAATCAGCAACTACAAAAACACCTACAGCAACAAAAACAGCAGGTGCTTGTAGCACGTGCAGACGAAACCACATGATTCAAAGCGTCACTGTAATTGGGTAATAACGACAGCTCTGACCAGAGCACTTTAGAAGGTTCAAAATGTAAATGAGCATAGAGTTTTAGCCTTGTAGGTATATTGGTACATGTAAGCTGGGCTTACGAAAAATATTCTTGTACAATAATACATCCTGCAAAACTCTTGTTCAAATATGATGGTGAAATTAGGTCATTTCCAGATAAACAGAAATTAAGGGACTTTGTAAAAACCAAACCAAACTTACAAGACTTATTAAAGGAAGTCCTTTGATCTGAGAACAAACAATATCAGACCACAGGTTGAATATAGGACGCAGGATTGTACTAGCGAGATACCAACCTAGGAAATGAACTCTTAAGGACTATGCAAAACCGAAAGAATTACAAAAGGGAACCAGAGAAGTTAATCTGTAAATGGCAATAGCGTCAGAACAATAAAAGAGGGAATAAACGTGTAGATATAGAACCTTCTAATGGAGAGGAAGTCAAGCGATACTAAGCAATAATAGACTGGTTCAAATCTAGGAAGATAAGCGTAAATTTCACAGTAACCACAAAGAAAGTTAACAAACCTACTCGTCAGAATAAAGAAGAAAATCATAAAGTCTCAGTAAAAACAAAACCTATAAAAACAAAAGAAATGAAAAAAAAAATCCACCAACAAAAGGAACTCAGCACAGGAGAGTAAGAGGAACAAAACTGGAGGACATTATGCTGAGTGACATAAGTCAATCACAAAAGGACAAATACTGTATGAGACCTCTACTGTATAACTCATGTAAAAGTTTACACACAAAAAGAAACAATCTTTGTTGGTTACGAGGCATGGGAGGAGTGGGGGGGAACTAAATAGATAAGTGGTAACTTTGGTGAAGGGTAAGACAGTACACATTACTAGGGGAAGCCAGCACAACTTGTACAAGGAAAGGTCATGGAAGCTCCATAGACACTTCCAAACTCCCTGAGGGACTGAACTGCTGGGCGGAGGGCTGTGGGGACCATGGCCTCGGGTAACATCTAGCTCAACTGGCATAACACAGTTTATAAAGACAGTATCCTGCATTCTACCTTGGTGAGTAGCTCTGGAGTCTTAAAAGCCTGTGAGCAGCCATCTAAGATACTCCACTGGTCTCACCCCTTCGGGAGCAAGGGAGAATGAAGAGAACAAGACACTAGGAAAAGATTAGTCCGAAGGACTAATGGACCACAGCTACCAAGGCCTCCACTAGATTGAGTGCAGTACAGCTAGATGGTGCCAGGCTACCACCACTAACTGCTCTGACTGGGATCACAATAGAGGGTCCTGGAGACAGCTGGAAAAGGATGTAGAACAGAATTCTAACTCACAAAAAAGATCAGATTTACTGGCCTGACAGACACTGGAGAAACCTCAAGAGTATGGCCCCCGGACACCCTTTTAGCTCAGTGGTGAAGCCCCTCCCAAAGTTCACCGTTCAGCCGGGGATTAGACAGCCTCATAAAGCAAAACAAGACTAATGAGGCACAGCAGTCCAGGGACAAGGACTAGAAGGCAGGAGGGGACAGAAAAGCTGGTGATAGGGAACCCAAGGTTGGGAAGGGACAGTGTTGACATGTCATGGGGTTGTTAATAATTTGTCATAGGGCAATACGTGTACTAACGGTTTAAGGAGAAACTATTTGTTCTGCAAACCTTCATCTAAGGTACAAAAAAAAAAATTATCTATATGAGATCAAATTGACAACAGCAACAAAAAAGGTTTGATGGGAAGCCTAGGGGACAGTGAGTTGAGATAATGGTGATGGAATAATTTGGAAAAGGATAGTGAG